CAGGACGCCCGTGAAGTTCGGTGGGTGAAGCGGTGGTGCGGGTCTCCCGGCGTCCTCGGCGCGGGGGGCGGCTGCCCGCCCCTCCCGCCGTGCTGGCGCTCGGAGCCCGGCGGGCGTGGGGCTCACCGGCGGCTGTGCCGGCACTGCTGCGGCTGGGAGCGCTGTCGGCAGCGGGTGTTCGGCAGTGGGTGGCATCGTGCCCCCTCTAATTAAGGAGGTTCAGAGCGTCCCGGTTTTTTTTCTGTGTTTCCCGACTTCTTAGGTGTTTGGATACATGATTTATTGTTGATGCTTTTGCCAGCCATAGTTAATGCTGAAACTTGTGCTCTTAAGTGGTAGTTGTAACTCACGCTGACAGCCGATGTACGAGTAACTGCAGCTCAGGTGGGACAACAGTCCTCGGTATGTGCTGTGCACATCTGTAGTTCAAGGGCAGTTCCCGGTAGGGTTGTGGGACCTACCAGCCCATTAGTGGTCGTTACGCTGAGTAGCCATCTCCAGGGATCAAAAAGTCTCGACAGTAACGATACAGATGAAAGGCCAAGAAGGGCTCCCGTGCCTAGGACAAGTCTTGCGTTATCTTTTTGAGTACAAGAGAAAAATCTGTGCAGGGCCTCTGGTATGGAACCTACGAACAACTTGGGAGAGCAGCTGTAGTGGCTGAAACAAACGAACATCTGTGCAGGACTGAAATACTGACAGTGGCTCTAAGTTTAGAGAAAGAGAATAGAAATCTTGCTAGTAAAATTCCCCTCATTGAGCAGAGGTTAGAGAGTACTTGAGCCAGAGAGATTTGTGTTTAGTCATTGCTGTGTTTTTTTCCTGTGGATTTGTGCAATTGCCTGTACAGTGCAAAGGAAGTTTCACCATGCTGGAAAAACCTTTTGGTGTACAAGAAACCTGATCCTTTGATTTTCTTGAAGTAGTTGTTCAAGACCACTGCTTTATTTCATTTGATGCTCTACTGTAGTTGTGGTGTAAGAAAGAGTGAGTAATCTTATTCTACTTATGCTTCCTGCACATCACCTATGGCTTTTGTGCAGCACAGTGTCATATCTTCTTGGTTACCACTTTTCCAAACCCTTACAGCAAAGACATTTGCACCTTTTATTTTCTCTTACTTTTTTTCCCCTTGTATCTTGAATTCTGTGTTGGTTTTCGGTTTTGTGTGTGTGTGTTTTTTCTTGTCATTTAGAAGGACCTGAACTGTATATCATTCAGAATGGAGAAGTGCTGTGGATTTACCATAGCAATATTCTCCTTCATTTTCTAGTCCTACTAATCCCTATAGCCTTTTTCTTTATTTGGAACACTGTTGATAACTGAAGGGGTATTTCTTAAATATGTTTACCAGAACTTATGGTTGCTTTTGTTTCCTAACAACTGACATAGAGACAAACATTCTGTAAATAAACCAGAGGTTTCCCCTGCTCCCTGACCTCTGTGTGCTTTATTTGGTCTGTGTTAGAATGGCTGTACTAATTTGTATTGTGAGTCCAGCCATGCTCACTGTTCTGTCTCCAGCACTACTCATAAACATGCTCAGCAAAGAGTAAGAATAGGACAAACATAAATAATATTTCATCTAAGTGTTCTCTTAGATGTCAGCTCTTTTCAGCTCGGGAGGTTTTGAGCCTGATACAGCATAGGCACGTGGCTGTACGTTCAGAGTCTGCTCCACACATAGAAAACCCTGTGTCTTGGCACATCAAACTGCATGTGCTAATTAAACCTGAAACCAGTTCTTTGATTTCTGGTTAGTGTATGTGAACTGAGTACTCAGAGGTACCTCACCCAACTGAGGTCTTGCACAACAAGAATTTGAGAACCATCTGTCCTGTCTTCCCATGTGGTTCTTATATTTTGCTTTTGTAGGTACATAATATATTAGAATCATAGGATAATTCAGATTGGATGGGATCTCAGAAGGTTTCTAGTTCAACCTCCAGCTCAAAGCAGGGTCAACTCCAAGGTCAGAGGAAGCTGCTCAGGGCTTTATCCAGTCTGGTTTTGAAAACACCCAAGAATGATGACTATGCAACCTCCTTTGACAAGCTGTTCCAATGCTTTCCATTATATCCCCTGGTGAAGTGAGCAGAGGTTTTTGTGCCAAAATCAAGTAGGAGAACCATAAGTTTTGAAGTGGTGGCCAAGCTTTACTAAGTAGAATACCAAGACTTTGTCCCCTCTGTCACAGCATCAAGCATATCTAGTCTAGGCTCATTATAAGCCACTATGATTTTTTAATTCTTATTTTTCATTTCTTTTTTTATAATCAGTTCTCTCCATGGGAGAACTTCGCTCTTTCACTTCAGTTTTATTTAAGCCCATGAGATCACTTCCCTCTTTGGCTGTAGATTCTTGTGGACTTAACTAGGCAAACTGAATGGATCTTGAGCATTTCGGTGAATCACCAACATAATTTTATTGTATACCTTAAACAATTTTTTTGCCTGCTTATGTGAGGGGAGAACCTAAGCTCCTGGGACCTCTTAGTTTTTGTTGGAGTTTTTTTGTCAGTGTTAATAGAAAGCAGATGTGAATGTTTTCAAGCATGTGTGTTTCTTAATTCTCAACATATTAATGAGTTTGAAGAAAGATCATCAGTGTCTACTTCTAAGGGTAGCAGATATACAGACTCAGAGTAGCCCTCATTAAATAGTTTTTCCCAGACTGAATTATTGTGCAAGTATGCTCACTTACTGATAAGCTTCCTGTATGAGCGGAGAAGTGGATCATCATGAAGTACTTCTAGTGGTCCAGGGCTGCAGAGTAATTTAAAATAAGTATTTTACTAGTCTATTTCAAATACTATAGATTAAGATGCTGTTTCTGGGGTACCCTTGCCTATATTCTGATACCAAGGGTCTTTTTTTATCTTATGTACCTTTATTTCCAGTACAGGCCCTTTGCATCTCAAAGATCTTCATGAATTCTTCAAGGTTTGTATGACTGAAGTTGGCTTCAGCCATCAGCTTCGCTAAGGAGGATTCAGACTATCTATTTTTGGAGCTTTGGCACTGAAACAGACTGTATCCTGTTCCTAGTAGCTTGTTCAGTTTTTGTTAGCACTATTATCCAGCTCTTAGCCTGCCTCTTTGTGGAGTCACTTACTGTTCAGGAAGCCTATTTCTGAGACAGAGGGATTCTGTTCATTGTATGCTAGTTTTTGCTATATCAAGGCTCACAAAGCGCTGTGACTCTGCAAATGATCAAGGCACAAAGCTTGTTTCCAGGAATCCATGGTGTTTCTTAACAGCATGCTAATGAACCCCCAGACTTCTGTGTCTGCTTTTGGCACACATCTTCAGTACTTGTAGGATTACATCACTACTTTGTCTTTCAAGTAGTGTCCATAATATGCCCTGGAGGATCAGAAGTTTTTGTTAACCTTGTTCCTATAAAAGTAAGTTGGTATCATGGCTAAACTGACTGCTCTTAAGCCTTCCCCACTTGCCCTTTTGACAGAAGCAATAAGGGCAAGAGTCTATAGGTGGATTGAATTCAAAGATTTGCACAAGCAAACTTGCTTTTGGACCTCTCTTCTCTGAAAGCAAAAAAGCAGAAGTCTTGGATAAAGACCCTCCCAAGGCCCATGCAGTTTTCCAGTGGGTGAACTGCGTGCTTTTGAGCGAGAAAGCTTCTATTTCAAAAATAAGTTTTCATTCTGAACTCTCCAGATTTGTGCTGTGCTGGGGCATACTGCTTTGAGCTTAGATCTTTGGAGAGTGCCTCTGTTTGTGTCTCCCTGGGAACTGTGTTTAAACAACCCAACGGTTCCCTGAGAATTAAAATGTCATGGAAAAGTTTTGTCGGCCTGTCTCAACAACTTCAGGACCTGTAGATCAGCATCAATCAAACTTGAAATAGTTCAGATAACAGATATTTCTGTAGTTTGGAGAAAATGTCTAGGCTTTACTAACACAAAACCCTGTGGTGCTTGCCCTCGAGCCTCTGATTAATAGTCGCCAGTCCAGTTTGCCAGGTTTTGTGCTTTTATATGCCTCAAAGCCTCTCTTAGAGTTTATTTAATCAAACTCTATGTTTCTTAAATTTAAAATCTTGGACACAGTATCTTTTTCTTGGAAGTCTTCCATGAAGAAAATACTTGCAAATCAAACAGCTCTCTGGAAAATCTGCCTATCTAATCCACCTCTTCTAGCCCCCTTTCATAAGAAATTGTTACCTGGAACACAGTCTGCATACTTCACTAAATTTAACCTCTTAGCTTACTGTGGCAATAAGGTAGCACTCTTGCGGCAAAGGTGTAACATGCTTTATCTTTGTCTCTTGGATTTTCCTGGTTTGTCAAATCAAACAAATTACTCCCTTGATAGCAGAGTTGTCTACAAGACTTTTGTTTTGTGGGAGTTTATGAACAGTACTGTGAGGTGATTCAGACTAGAGGTAAACATGCCTCTTCACGCCAGGGGGTAGTCAGGCCTTCCAGAAGCTAGGGAGGAATGACGCATGCAGAGACTCTTCCATACCTCTTTTTTGTGCTACACTGCTTGCTAGTTGAAGCAGCATAGTACTAAACAAGATCTATTTATTTGTGCTGTTGAATCTTACTACTCTACATGTGGCCTCAGCCTGCCAAACTTCCTATCCCAAAACCCATGCAATGATACCCAAATGTCTCAGTAGAATTGCTAATAGACTTGGTGACCAGGGTAGCTATGAGATAGAGGTGGAGTTTGGGAGTGGGTTAAATATAAAAAATAAAACTTTACTAAAGGACCACACCCTGATTCCTTGCCAGAGGTTACAGTCACTGTGCTGCCTCTTAATGTTTTGTCTTGAAGCTGGATGGTTATACACAGGCTTACAGAATTTTCAGTGTTAATTGTGTCAGTTATTGATAGTGACTAGTCATGCAGTTGGAAGCGTGTGACCAAACTTTTCAAGAAGGTTCTTCAGTAACAAGCTGCTTTTTTCCCCTATTATATGTAGTTACTACATAAAGTGATCAAGTACTATGTTAAATAGATCTGACTTTTCTTATTCTGTTGCTAATAAAACTCCTTTTTAATTCTAGATTTGGATATCAAAACATCAGGGACTGGCTGCGTGAAGATTCAGAAAATAGAATGTGATAACTGCAAAATAGAAACAGAGAAGGGGACTAGTGTCTTGCAGTCAATAAAGGTACAAAGAAACACCCCCACCCCCTCCATCAGTGTTTTAAAAGGGATTGCGTGGTGGAATATAGTATAAAAACTTAAATTCCAGTTCTAGAGATAAGTATTCTGATATTTCTAAGTGTACTCTGTGTGTAACACCTCGCCTTTATTACACACAATAACAACACAGTCAATAACACTGAGTCAGAAGTCCACGTACCTTTGATAGCCAAAGCCAGCAGAAATGGTGACAGACAATAAGCCTGATACCTGCCTTCCTTGGCCCTCAGAAAAAGACAGACTGGGATTTCCTATCTAGTAGGTTAATAGTTACGCTTGCTTGGTTGGGACTTTGCAGTGTGCTGCTTCTAGTTTTTTTTGCCTGCATTTTTCATAATTCTGATATATCAGTGCTGTTGGCAAACTCTTTAGGTTAATTTTCATCAGAAGTTACACATTACATGTCCAAAATACCCAACTGAAATGTATCTGATAAATATGGTATGTATCATGATCATGACCTTGTTTTTCAATCTTAAGTTTTCAATCTCAAGTTTGCGGACACAGACATTTGTAGAAATAATTGACTTATATCTGACTTAGGTGCTGTTTGGAATCAATTTCACTTGAATAACTGAGATTGTATCTGCAGGAATTGGTATACATTTTTAAAGGAATTACCCTGTTTGAAAAGCCCAAGTTTAAGTATTTGAGATATGAAAAATCTGTCAACATTTTTCTTTGCCATGGTAAGAGGTGATTTTATAGCACACATATGGGAAACTGAACTTAAGGGGAAATTTAATATGCAGTAGAGAGGTTTCCTCCATATTTAATGAACTACAGACAGCTTTTATCTTCCAGATTCTGTGTAATTGACCATATTACTCTTAAAAATGTAACTAAAATCTAAAAAAAAAAATTCATCGTACTATATGTTACTGCTGTCTAAAGTTTTGGCTAAAAATGACCTTGTATAATAATAACAGCAAACAGCAGTACATGCAAAACTACACAGTATGAAATAACAAGGTAGTTTTGACCAGCAATAGTGACAGTAATCACAGCATGCTCTCACAATTGTCAAGAATTTTTTGTGACTTTGTGGAAAAAGATGATTTTGAGGAAAGATAACTAACATTTTCTGGGCATCTTATATACAGTCTGAGATGCGAAAAATGTTTAATTTTAAAAATTAAAAAGTCAGTTCTACTTTCCTTGAGACTTCAAGTGGCAATGAAACAATACCCTCTAATGAACTGAAAAGAAGGCTGAAAAGTCAGCAGTTTGGGGCTTCTAAGACCAGATTTTCTACAGCCTTATAATTCAGAGGAGCTTGATGGTGGTTTTTTGCTTGATTGACAAAAATGTCAGTAAAAACTACAAGTGTAAAAGGTGATCTGCCCCCTGTGCATGAGCCTCAACATGTCCTCTACAGTGGTGGCCACAAGAAGCTGCTTTGCTCCCGTACACCTGAGATGAGAGGAATGGGCCTAGTCCCAGAAGGCATTTAAAATGTAAACACTCAAGAAAGGACATCAGATTTCAACTGAAACTCTTGTTACAATAAAGTTTTTGGTAGCTTACAAGGCTTTGGGGTTTTTCTAACCAAAATAATGATCTGAAGTATTCTTTTGGGTTGTGAGGGAAGATTGGTTGTCTTTGCTGGTTACTATGACAGCTTGAACATACAGTACTCTAGAGAGGATGTGTGACCACTCTTGGTTTTAACTCTGACATAGTGGGACGAAGGTTTTGAATTAAAATTACTGACCATGTAGGTGTTTGCAAGAGCCAACAGTTGTCCAATTACCTATCACTTAGTTGTACAGTCAGTGTTTAGTCTAATGTTGTTTTTAAGAAGTACTGTAGTTCTAGTAAGGCAACTGTAACTCAATTTTGCTAATATAGGTTCAGGACTTATACTCTGTATTAGCAGAAAAGCAGAATTGTTAACCTTTTGGGTTCAAAGCTACTGAAAATCTGATAGACCAGATTCTGTAGTGTAACACAAAAGCCAATTCTCCTTTAGGGAATGTGCTTTACTGAGGAAACTGTAGTGATACTGCCCTCCCCTGGATGGATTAAAGAGCTGGTTAATGTTGCTTCTCTGTCATGCTGTCCACAAACCTCATTGACTAGCAAATGCTAGTCATGCAGGGATTATTCAAGAGCACTAGCAAACAGCTTCACAACTGCTGCTTCTTTTAGATTGCCACAGACTGCAAGAAGTTGTTTGTATAATTTGTCATTCAAAAAAACTTGCCGATTTTTGGTAGACTGTATGGTGTCTTTACAGAAGACACAGAATTTGGCATTTACTTTCCTTAAGCGTGCATGCTAGTAATTGAACAGAGAAGATGAGTATTCTCTATGGGTGTTTTTAGTGGATTTCGACTGGTACTTTTGGTGTGGTAGGCATTATTCAGCCAGTGAGATTTGTGGAGGGTTGGTTTATTGAGATTTTTTTTGTTGTTGTTGGTATTGTTTTGTAATTGGCTAAAGAACAGTTCACTTGTATCCCTTCCAAGTCTCTAGGTCAGCTGATAGTAGCAGAATTCCAAAATACAGTTGTGACTTCTAGGAATATAAATTAATCCCAAATTCTTTATTGAGAAAGCAGTGTTGTTTCTTTTTAATTTTTTTCTCTGCTGTTTATTACAGTCCATCAGCGTAGCAGTGGCAGTGGGACCAAGGAGACCCTTTAATTCTGTCTCTTATGTTCCATGATTACTTCTGACTCCTTGACTGTGCCAGTGATAACAAGAATTTCCAGGTGTCTCATGCATAATCCGTGGAAGACCTGCTGTGCTTCCTCACCACACATCGTGTCTGAGCCTGATCTGTTAAAGTCCTGCACCACTGTCCTTCCTTTCTTTGAACTGAACATATTTTTCTGTTAGAAAATAATGTGTAGGTTGTAGTTTTATTTTACTTGAGTATTGGTGGCCATACTGGTAAGTCATTGCTATACATTAGTTCTTCTGATCTTTTAAGTCCCCATATTTTCCTCAAGTTATGTGTCTGGAGGATTTGCTCATTAACCATTATTCTGATAATGTGCCTAATGTAACTGCCTTAAAAGAACTGTGATGTCTGGCTGAATCATCAGATAATTAAGCTGAAGCATCTAATTTAGTTTTATTCCATTTACTGTATGCGGAGACGATCATCTATTATATTGAAATAGAAGCTTAACAGCCGAGTTCTTAGAACCTTTAAAAGATCTGAAGCACTACTGTAGTCTCAAGTTAGGGGCGTTTTACTTTACTGTGGGCAAGCTTCTTAAGTGGAGAGGAGAAAGCAAGACTCAGGTACACAAACATTAAGAAACACTGCTCTAGAGTTCTTAAAGTTCTTCATGTCTTATGGAACTCCATGAAATATCTGATTCTTGGTGTTTCATCAGAAATGTGTTGGAGCACTCTAAGTCCAGGTTTTCCGTGTTGGAAACCTGATTTCATATTTTTAAAAGTTTTTAATCTGATGAGACCTAGTTTAATGCAATTTATTACGGCTTATCCAAGCAGGTGTTTAATAATGTAAATATCTTGAGTATTTCTGATATTCTTGATGGTGAAATTTAGTGGATGGTGTCCTGAATTAAATATCATCTACAGGAATAATATTTTTTTCAAGATAAATGGATAAATCTGAAAATGAAGGTGATGGTGTGGGAAGAGAAAATATACGGGTATGAAAAAAAGGCAAGTTTATCCATCATTAAGTATAAAAAATACTGAATATTTTTTTAATTATATGTTATTCCAGCATTCATGCTAGTGAACTTAAGCAAAACAGCTTTACTGCTGAGAACTGTAAAGTCAGGTTTGTTGAAGTTAATGGTTTATGAATACAGTTAGATTATTTAAATCTGACTTTTAAATTTTTCTTTTTTTTCCTTCCCCCTTCTTACAGATACTTGGGTTTTACTCTTAAGACTTGTTTGGGATTTTCATGGGGTTTTTGTTACTTTTTTTTTTGTCTTTGAAATTAGTTTTGTAATTTGTGGTAGATCTTTTATTTTAATATAATTTAGCTACGTGTCCTTTCTTGTGTGTATTTCTGTATTTTTTTCTTGTCAGTTGTATGCAGCAACTGAACGCTATGAGGGCTATGGCATTTCTTGAAACCTGGTTTCTTTGTGAAAAACTTGAGACTAATGCAGATGTATGCAAAATACCTAATTTGAATGAGAATCTGGTTGGAGTGAAACATGGTAGAATCTAGTTCTACTTGCAGACCTAAGGTTTGCACTGGGATGCATACATAGTTTACAGCTGTACATACTACTACCAAGCAAAAGTAGCTCCCTGGTCTGTTTGTATGAATAATTATCCTACAGAGTTCTATAACACTGTAGGTTTCAGGTCATTGGAAGGCTCCAGTTTGCAAGTTTGTTTCTCACTGCTAGCTCCTGTTTCTTACCTGCTGCAGCACTGGGTGTTTGCATACATTGGTTTCTGGAAGGAGTATAAATGAAATACAAAATTCTGTCTTTCTTCCCCTGCTGCTTATTGTAATATATACTGAATGAATGTTTTGCTAGTTGCAAAAAAAACCAAAAAACCCCCACCTGTATTGAGAGTAAAGGGTTCCTCAGCATCTTTCTTTTCCTCTTGTGTTTCTGATTACAAAGAAAGGTAACTTGTTTTGAGTTTGACTCCACTAGAAATAAACAGCACATGTGGCAATCACTTGAAGAAATCTTCACAGTAAAATGGAAGTTTTTGATCCAAGATGATTATTGGGGTACAGCTTGAAAAACAAGGTAACTTGTTTTCTAATTACAATTATCCTAACCATATGTTTTTTAAACTTTTTTCAGAGCCATAAAATTGATATACGAACAAATGGTGGCAAAGTAATTGGTCTTGGAACACTTTATGGAAATACAGATATTCGTGCAACAGAGAAGGGTGTAAGTAAGAAGTAAAACTCTCTACAATGGCTTTTTCAGCTTGTCTGTTGCAAAATGACTGAATTTTGAAGAGTGTGCAGAGGGATATTTAATGACCCTCACTGGTAGATTGATTTCACTGTTATCTTACATTTGTTGGTTTAATTATACTGTCTTATGCTTGATTTAGATTAGTAAATGGGCATCACAGAAAGAGCAGTAATAAGCATGTGATCATTCCATCAGCACAGAGGCTGTGCTAGCTGATACAACTCATCAGCTTTAATTATGCAGACCCTCAATGCTCTTAAACTTTTTACTTGGCTGATATCTCGGAACCTGGATTCTGCAGTAAGCCTGTGAGTTTATTTTAGTGTCTCATGAATAGTGGCTTGATATCTATACATGCTGTACACTTCTGGCATTATATAGTTGTAAGAATGGAAGAGTAGAAGGTTTTGTATATTTCTTTGCAGCAGAGGAAATAGTCACATGTAATTTTGTTATGAGGTGCAGTAAGAAGAATCATGAACAGCAAAAGTTTCGTAGAGAAGTAGCTTGGGTTTTTTTTCAGCAGATGGCAGTATGAGACAAACCTCATACTAGTCTAATCTGTTTTTGTTTCTTGCTGTAAGTAGTCATTTCTCCATTATTTAAAATAATGTAGAAGTAGGCTCCCTTACATAATACTACAGTTCTCACACCCAGTCTGGTTTTAGGTTCAACTTGAATGTTTAGGCATCATAGTTTCTGTGCAACTGGATTCATTACACCTGAAGCTTTGCTATATTGAACTTGTGGAGCCAAGCCAAGTCTGGAAGTAGCTTAAATAAATGCAGTACTCTGTCAGAATCAATAGGTATCCTTAAAACTAGCGGCATGGGGAAGAACGGGAAAGAGTGCAGGTAGCTCTCCCTAGCCAAGGATAGAATTGAGACCAAGTTATTAAGTTCTAGGAGTCAGAAATCACTTCTGTGAAGTGTCATTCATCACTGTTATACACCTTGTAGATTGGCTTCTGAGATCATGTGTTCTCTTACCTAGTCAGCTGTGATCTGTTCTTAAAGTCCTGCTCTAAACTAAGCAAGTTGTCATTGAATTTTTCCAAAACTGTCAACATTAAATTACCTGCATTTTTTTTGTAGTGTATGCTAGCTTGACTTTTATGTACAAAAGTGCCCAGAGGCGTTGCATCTGTACTGTTGTTGAGGGTTGTTTAGTCTGGAGAAAAGGAGACTCAGGAGAGACTTCACCAGTCTCTACAACTACCTGAAAGGAGGTTGTAGCAAGGTGAGTGGTGTCAGTCTCTTTTTCCCAAGTACCAAGTGACAGCACAAGAGTAAAAGGCTTCAAATTGTGCCAGGGGATGTTTAGATTGGATATTAGGACAAATTTTTTCACTGAAAGGGTTGTCAAGCATGGGAACAGGGAAGCGGTTGAGTCACCTCCTCTGGAGGTATTTAAGAGACACATAGACACGGCACTTAGGGACATGGTTTAGTGATGGACTTGATAGTGCTAGGTTTATGGTTGGACTCGATCTTAAAGGTCTTTTCTACAATTGATATTTCCTCATGAACGTTATTTCATCCCAGTAAGACCTCCCAGCATAAAACAGAGGGGGTAAGGTCTGACTGTGACATGCTCCACTGATGCCACAGTTGGACTCATCAGTGCTAATTAATCAGCAGTTCCCTTGGGACTATTACTAGTTAGTGGAGTTGAGATCCATCCTAAGCCAAGAGCAGCCACAGGGGGTGGAATACCACAGAGGTAGTTTACAGCTTTCTTGATGTGGCATCCATCTTCCTGCAGAGGGCTTCTGTTGGAAGCATTTGGAAACTGGGTTCCTTGTTTTCTACCAGTGAGCAAGATGGACTGCAGTCTAAGCAGTGCTTTGACTGCTTGAGGTTCATGCTGTTCACAACATACTAGTGTAGTGGTGGTGTTTAGAGTTGTACTGCTTAGTCATTTTGTTTGTCCCAGACTAGTTTGTTACAGACCATGGAGTTAACTTCAAATAGAATCTTGCTGATGTTGAAAAAAACAAGTGGAAAAATAATTAGCTCTGTATCTATGTGAAAATACAGTTATGAAAATGAGAAATGTAATTGTGTTGAGTCTTTAAGTGCTGTTTAAAAATATAACTTTTTTCAGACATACTGCCCTGAAGCAATAAAACAAACTCCACTGAGATGACATTGAAGTGCATCTTTTGTGATCATAAATATTTATGTAGTCTGTAATATTGCTAGAAGTCACAGTTGTAAAGCTGTAGTAACTTGAGTGAAATGAGTAGTTTTAACAGGAATTTAAAGCTATGGAACACTTTTGGCTTATGTTATTGAACTTCTCATTAACAAACTTTGCGTACTTAGCAAGGACAGTGTGAGATTTCTTTTCTCAATTGGCCACTTCTGTTAATAATCAGTCAGTCTCACATCTCCAGTGTGTGTTTGTATGAGATGTTTCTTCCATCAGTTGTAGTCATCATTATGTAATTATGGCTCTGTCAGCATTTCCAGCCCCCTCCTGGAGGTGGGGAGGGAAAGGATGTGGTAAAAGACACTAAACACTTGAGAAACACAGAATATTTTTAAGGGGGGAAAAATGAAGAAGACAGAAGACACTAGTAAGATGGTTGAGCAGCTCAAAAAGGAAGGCCAAAAAGAGGAATACTTGGGGAAGTTGTTTGTTGTACTTAAACATAGCAAGATGTTAGTTTTCATACAGAAAATGTGTTCAGGTGCAAAAACATTCATAGTCTGATTTATGAAGATAGAATGACACATTTTCTTTAAAGGGTAAGAAACTGATGGAACTTGAGCCAGTGGTCAGTCTTAGTAACTGCAACTCCCAAGGCTGTACTCTCAAGGGAAGGAATTTTTCCAGAAAACCTGATGGTTCAATGGACAAAAGTAATCAAATATGTTTGCCTGGGGAGTCATTAGCTAATCTGTGCCACGGGGACTTTCCCGTAGCACTTATTTAGCAAAGCCAAACATCTATGGTCTGCCAAAAATTCATAAAAGTTAAAGAATTTGGGATTGAAAACATATTTAGTCTCAGTAGAAAGCAATCCTTTCTTTTATTTTCCCTATCTAGAATACTTTTTTAGTCTTATACTTGACCATTGGTTTACTCTGAAACAAATGTTCATTGTGTTGGTAGGTTTTGTGTTGTGGTTTGTTTTTTTTTTTACAGTAACTAGCTGACTCAGTGCTTCATTGTCATGTGCTGAGACAACTCTTTTTTTATTGCTGTGCATTTAAGAAAGGTAGTTGAGGCTGGTAAATAAGATAAGTTGGTATATGAGCTTGTTTATTATAAAGCACTTCATAATATGTAAATAAGATAAATATCTAAATAGAGTCGAAACTTACCTACCATAGTAACAGATGTACCTTTTAGAGCTTTCATTTTCCCATCCAGGAATGCCAGAAGGCAGACAATTTGCACCCAAACTCTGCAGGCTTTTTTAATTTTATTCCCCCTCCCCTTAAAGTGTGCCTCACTCTATTTTCATTGGGTTGATAGCAATCATGGCCCTCCTAAAACTTGAAATGTTCACTGCAAGTCATTTAACTCCTCTTCAGTACAGGTTTAGATCATAGAACCTAAAATAACAGTGGCTTTTCTTTTACTCACTGATTTGGCCATGTACCACAGCCGATTTGCACTTTGCTATCCTGGGTGAAGGAGTAGTGGAGTACTCTGCTTAAAAACAGCAGAGCACTCCATTCTTAAGACAGATGTAATGTAAACTTACGTTTGTTAAGGTCTCTGCTTGTTAGAGTTTTGTTAGAAGTATTGAAAGATTGAAAGGCTGAATTGGTCTCACTTTCAGTAGTGACAAATTACGCCTTAATATCACTGGGTTTGTTTACTATTGATGCTTAGGTGCTGTAGCACAGTTCTAAGCAGCATCACCTTCAGGCATTGTAGATACTGACTGTCATGTATCTCTAATTTTAGCACAGCACTTTGATCACCAGATTTTCTTAAATGTTAATGTATCTTGTTACATTCTTGGAGACCTACTTTGTATGTCAGAAGTCTTAAAGGCAATAGTCTGTTCTGCAGCCTTATGATTTAAGGTGTAAAGACGGCATAAAGCTCAGTAGGTATGGATTTGTAAGATCACAGTATAATTTGGCTGTCGTATAGTCCATACTAAGCCAGCCTCTTTAGCTCACTATTTGGGACACAATACAGCATAGAGTTTGTGCAAAACTGGTTGTTGTTTGTCAGAATACCTCTTACTTCATCCATAGCTTTTGTTATATAATATAACACCAGAAGGGTCAGACTTTTGTTTTCTGTTTTCTCCACAAGACAACAATGCTAAATGACAAAGTGGGTTTAGAGATAATTCAACATAAGGCACAGTTTGATCTAGACGGCCATATATAATGCCATGTAATGAATGGAGATTTTGTGCCATTCCCTTAAAGTCTGTGTAAGTAAAATAAACCCAAATTGAGTGGGGGTTAAATATGAATTATTGCATGATTACATCATAAATCAAGTTTAACTGAGGAATATAGAATTAAATGCATGTGGTAGTTGCACAAGCATGTGATCTGTTTTGTTCAGGTCGGTGTAGGTTGTCTCACGTGACTGGTGATTTGTACATAAATATCATCTATCACCTTTTGTTCCCCAAATCTATTCACAGTGCAACTTGTTAAATCTTTCTCTCAGTTTCTACTGAAAAGAAGTAGAAATGGAGATCTTATCCCTCCTGTTTCAAGGATTTGTGTAGCTTGAAGTTTCAGTCCAAGAATAGGGGCCTGATTAACTGAGGAAATATGAACAATTACACTGAGACAAAAAGAAGCTGTGGCTTTTTTCCAAACCTTTACTAAAGCTGTATCTACAAAGTGAGCCAGTTAAAAAAATAAATAGTTCTATGTAATAGTTTCAGTATGTGGTGGCAGAGCACCGATGACCAACGTTTTTAAGTGTCATAATGCTGGATGAATGTTAATTTGTCATAATTAAAAATGATCTTTTACTTTTCAAAATTAAGTTTGGGGTTTTTTTTAAATAAATCAAGATTTTCTTTCATTTGTTTATGACTATTTGGGTTCTTCACCTTTATGATAAATGTAATAATTTATAGGCATGTTGTAAAGAATTATTAACTTGTTGGTCAGAACTCTTGGATGAAAAGGTTTTTTTCTCCCTGTGTTGTGTAGCTTTTAACCAAGAGCTTGATTCCCTTTGCTCTGCACCAACAACTGCTTTCCATTTGTTTTGCCTCTTAAAACTGTTGCTTCCCTCTGCTTTTTCCAACTGTGATGACAAGTTTTCCATTATGTTTATTTAAGTTTATTTCTCTTAGAGTGTGAATATAGAGAAGCTGCAGGGGACATCCATCAACATATCTACTGAAGATGGGCTGCTGAAAACGAAGTATCTCTATGCAGAATCATCCTCTCTGTCTTCAGTAGGTGGTGATATTCTGCTGGGAAGCATTCATGGTAAGGAAATATTGTCACATCATTCGGAAAACAATGTCACAAACTTAGCTGCTTTGAAGGTATTAATAATGTGCACATTAATGAATGGGCTAATGATGTAGGTTATTACTAAATCATCTGTGCACAGTATATGAACAAAACAGTTCTGTATTTTAGAGATGGAGTTGATGAGAATTAACTTACCATACAGCATACTGTATTTTTAAAAACAATTTTATAAGCACACTTGTGAAATAGCAAAAAGTGTGTATTATAGGAAAGAAACATCACACATACTAAGGATGTCAAAATATTTTAAAATTCAGCAATGAAAATTATACTAATAGTAGTAAAGAGGCTTCTCTTCTCTCTCCCCATCCTTATTTTCTTCATAGAAGTAACTTACAGCATCTGCTATGTTAGAACTCGGTTATGTTTAGAAGCTTTTAGTAAAAATAGGCTCTGTGTGTGCTAGCACACTATACTAAGAGTGGGGACAGTTTCTGTTCTTTGGGGGAGAAAAAAGTCTCTAATCCACCCTTTAATGTCCTTCACCTAGAACTAAAATTGTCTTTTACATAAACAGTAGTCAAGGTTGAAATCTGGTATGGTTTTCTAGTTTAACAAAATTCTCACTAAATTCTGGCTGTTCTGTAATGTATTTGTGGTGATTTAACATTAAGTAAAACAAACTGAAGGATGTACAAAGAGTGAAAATTAGTCAAGTCAAGAGTTCCAGATTTCCAGCTATATGCCTTTTAAAAATCTTGCTGCAATTTCTTAGCAATTTTGTCTTGTCATCTTTCTTGAGAAATTACTCTTGTTTCTTCCTTAAAGGAGCAACTCCTTTGTTGATTTATAGTAACTTTAAGAATGCTTTCTAAAATTATTAGGTAAAGTTCACTTCAGCATGCATAGGCAGAAATAAGATTTTTTTTTTTCTTGTTGTTACTGGTACTTCTGTCTGATAAGCTGTTTTGCTTTAGGGTTGAGGTTTGCTTTTTTTCTAACTTCAAACCAGTATAATGATACTGTGGAGTAATCAGTTTGTGAGCATGTTCATGCCTCTGTGCACATCCAAAAGTTTGTGTTTTCTTTTTTTCTTGGTACAAAAATGAAATAACTGCTATAGTTAGTGACTTACTTCCTTAGTGATGCCTCACTGTTGTTTAGCTGAAAAACAATGTGAAAATGAATAGAATTGTATCCAAATTATACAGACATTTCTTGCATTATTTCAGGATTATTTTTGAGCTCTACTAAATAGGTCAGGAACACCTAACGTTATTTTAGGTGTATCTTAAACAATTGCGCATTAACATTTGCTTGGGAATTCTAGTCTATTTTTTCAGAAAAATGTTGTCTATAAAACATCATACTCCTCAATCCTGTTTTAATAAGAGAAAATACTTTTAAAGTATTTAAAAATATTATATTGCATATACATATATACATACAAAACCACATAGATATTAGTGGAAAAAACTATTATAGTTTTATGTTAGAAAAAACTTTCACTTCTAGTCTTTGCTCATGGGGCAGCTCAATTTTACTAGTAGTTTTGTTTGTAAACTCTTGAACGGATTGTTTGTTGGGCAGTTAAGCCCCTATTTTCATATAGCTCATAGTGTGCTGATACTAGAGTTGGCATAAAATCAGCATATCTGTGCACAATGCTGAGCTAGACTTCATAGCTTTTGCACCGAGAACTTTGAAGTCAGGGCAACACAAACTTTTCAAACCTTCCTGACACTCATTTTGTAGTTGAATCTTGGACTGTACAATTCCAATGCTGTCAGTGCCCAAGCTTTCGTAATTGCTATTTTTCATGCTTCATACTTTTATGGCAAAAGAATAATGCATTATTTTGAATAAATTGGTTTTGAGTCTTTTCATTGGCTTCTGTAACAGGCATTAGACAGATGGGTCAGTTGGGTGCTACTGAGGTCTCAAGTTAACACTTGAAAAACAAGACTGAGAAATGTGCTACTTTATCCAATGGGCAACAATGTTATCGTGGAACCTCTGTACAGAGGGGCATGTAGGAGAGAAAGGAAATCCCTCGTTGCAACTGTGCCAAAGTCTTGGGTTGAGTTGCATTAATTATTGATTTATTTTATTCACAAAATAGTTTAAGTTGGAAAGGAATTTGACATCTAGTCCAAACTAACGCATAAAGTGGGCTCAATTAGAGTGAACTTGCTCATGGCCTTGTCTGGTTCAGCTTTCAATATTCTCAAGGATGGAGATTGCATAACCTTTCTGGATGACTTGTTCCAGTCCCTAATTACCCTTCTGGTGGATAAAAAGCTTTCCTCTTTTGTGTTTTTTAATCATAGTTTCCATTATGGCAACTTGTAACTGTTATCCCTTCTTCTTGCTGCATCACCATGAGAAGAGTCTGTGTGTTTTCTATACCCTCCCATTAGGTAGTTGAAGATCACATCCAGATTCTTCCTCAGCCTTCTCCTTTTAAAGCAAAATAAACCCAACTTTATGAGTATCTGTAGTATGCTCTGGGCCCCTAATCTTCTCAATAGTGTTCTCTGGCCTCACTGCAGTACATCAGCATGTTTCTTGACTGGGAAGGCCAAAATTGGACCCAACAGTCCAAATGCAGTCTCACAAGAGGCCTTTACCTGCTGGCTATACTCAGTCATATAGCTCAGTATGCAGTTGACCTTCTTTAATGACTCATACTGAAGCTGGTGTCCATCAAGATGCCCAGGTTCTTACCTGCAAAGCTTTTTTGCAAACAGTCAGCACTCAATTTTTACTGCTTTACAGGGTTGATGAGACTCATATGCAGGGTTTTATATTTGCTTTTGACCTTTTCTTCTGTGATAGTCTAGTAACTACTTCATTATGTGATGGAATCACACTGGAAAACATGGTTATTGAAGTTATTTTATGTATTTACACTAAATAATATATAGGAAAAGGCGAATATATATAGCTGCTTTATCCTGTCAGTGGCCTGAATAAGACAAGTAGAAAATCTGCAATGTTTCAAAGGCAGTATGGTATAATACTTGAGCTTAGCATTCTATAATCTCTTCTGAAAAGAATCTGATATACCAAAGTATATTCCATAAATTTCTGCTAATGTTTCTGGATTTCACTGTATATAAATTGGAATTGTAGAAATGAATTTTGTTTTGTTCCTTTTTAGGCATGTCTTGTACTTTAGTCTGATGCACATTTAAAATACAAAGTCAAAGTGGTAAAAAGCTGCATTGTGGTTTATTTACTTTTTCTGTGCATCAAAATAACCCTGCCACCTTGTATGCCTTCAGAACAAATTGAAGGAATGGAAATAATAGTGTAAAGTGATGCCTTTGTTTATATCCCCAAAGCCATCTTTTGCCCCTGGTCCTATACTGATCCTGACTTGCAATACAGTAGTTTGAAGTCTTACAGTGTTTATGGAGAAGCAAAGCTTGTACATGATAGAAAAAAAACAAAAAGAGAAACACTAAGCTACCGTCATCAATATTCTGTAAAAACTGTTATATTGTAGCCTTTTTAGTACTGCACTGAAATGCTGAAGTCAGTTGGATGTAATAATCCAACTGGTAATTACCTCCAGTCAGGTCTTTCTCTTTGCCCTTAATGTGTCCAGAATATACTTGGCTAGCTTAAAAGTTATAAGTGAAGTGTTGGCCATCACTGAACAATTACATGACCAAAAGTACTCTTCTGTGCACTGCTTGTAGATGGTGCAGGTCACAACACGTCAGGACGTTCCTACCTGCTTTAAAAGCAACTTTTGTTCTAAGTAAATGTTTGAAGTGAATTTATCACATTAATATGTTTACATTATGCAACATTAGTCATATTTGCCATATAAGTTTGTGGTTAAATGGGATTTTGATTTCTACATGTTTAATATTTTTCAAGAACCTGCTTATCAAAAACAGAAAACAAGAAACAAACAGACCAGCAAGTCTCCACGTCCCAGGGTCTATATTCAGAGTATAACTTCAGCTCTGTGGGAGTTGGTAGCTAACAAAACCCTAGGCTTTTTTGTAGTTTGTACAAAAATAATACTAGTCATGATAAAATGGGTAAAAGGGTGGGATAATTATAGTGTGCCTTTTAAAAACAGCAAACAGCAAAGCCAAATATCTTTCAATTTCATTGAAATATGGTTTTGTTTCAACTCTGATTTTCAGAACCCCTAAGTATTTTGCACAGTATGTTCTTGAAATGATGAATTTAAGACTATTGATGATAGGCTACTTTTCTATCTTTCAGCCCACGGACCACTAAGAGCAACATTATGGGTAATATACAGTGGAATGCATTCTACCCTAATAGCTGTTTACTACTGTAGAATTACAGAAGTTTGGTGCAGAGCTTGATTTTTTGCAAATTCTAAAGGCCTCTTCCAAAAAATCTGAAAATTGTTGTATTACTAAACTGGAATTTCTGTGATGAATCTTATTTTTCAATCTATTGTCCTCCTGAGAGGATGAGGGTTGTGGTTTAGTTTTTTTAAGTGGTTTTGTGAGACAATTACACATGTGTAATCTACATGGAACTATGGAAGTTTCTACCAACTTTGGACTGTTAGTGTAGTAGTTATGATGTCCATCTGTCCATTCAGATTTCCTTGATGCCACAGATGAAGGGGAAGAGTATTTATTTTGAGATTTTAAGGTTAAAACACTAGTGCCTGTTCAAAGTAATGCAAGTTCAGTAGGATACCATTCTACTTCTATGCCTTACACATTCTTTTAGTTTGTTCTACATTTTGCTCAATACACTCAGGTCTCACTGAAGTAAATGAAGAGTATTGACAAGGAGTTGTCATGTACATAATAAGTCTAGAGGGAGCAAATAATGTTCAGTGAGTCCAGGAAGTAGTCTCTGAAGATAAAAAAATGCAGGGGTGGGAGGTAGATCATATATGTATATGAAAGAGGAAAACAGAAACTTTGTTAGTCATCCTATTAAATGGCTTAAATCATCCACGGTGCAGTTGCAGTCATCAGAGCAATTAAAAAAAAATAATAATCTCGTGCTTTAGCTTTGCAATGCCTCTCCCTCACATCCAGTCTGTGTCTTTAAGCTTTACTCAGTGTTTTTCTTGTCTGGAATTGCTTCATTGTTACCCACGTGTTAAGATTTGTAAAGCAATAATACCCAAGCAATATAACTGGTTTATCTATTTTGTTTCTATATGCAAATCAGATACACAACTGTAATGCCTTGTATAAAATCTCGTTACTTGAGCCTTTGTTACAATTTCAGAAACCAGTTAAATAATATGCTTTTAACATTTTCTTTTTCCCTTTTCCTACTAGGTAACACCAGCCTTCAGACCAAAACAGGGAGTATCACAGTAGGTAGGTTCTACCTCTTCTCTGAGATACCTCTTTCTCTTAATTTTTCTAAAAGCTAAATATTCACAGGGAAAGTAAAAGGGAGGTGATTCTTCACAGATGTTTCTGCCCTTGTTTCTTTTCATGAGTAGCACTGATAGCTGTGTAGCTGAAGTAGATCCTTTACAAACTTGACTGTCAGCCTTTTGCAGTTGGGCAAGGCACACTGTCTAGCTTTTGATACCACAGCACCTGCTGAGCTTTGTACAAGTTAGACTGACTCTAGGTGTTGTCTTTTAGGTTAAGATGGTATAAAACCACATGAGAAAAGACTAATCGTGCATCAAATACAATAATTTTGCTTTTAACCTAGTTCTGTTTACATTTGTTGTATCAATGATTAGCCATGTTTAATTTTTATATCAAAAAGCATTAGTCATTTGATGTATTATGTATCTGTCTCTTAT